TGAAATTTCCATTTCATCAGAATCTAAAGAATCAAGTATAATCTTTCCCAGAAGAGGAGATACTCTTAATTTTGGCAGCCTTATTATACTTCTTTTTCAAATCTATTATTTCTAAAAGCTATATCATCTTTCTCCACTGTCATGACACTTAAGAATATGGTCTTAAGGTGTATATGTTTAGCTAGAAATGCCTCAAGCTTATCCTTCTTTATGGCAGAGTAGTATTCCATTGTATTAAAAAACACATTATCTTCACCCATTCATTTGCTGGTGGGCATTTGGGCTGTTTCCAAGATTTAGCTATGACACACTGCACTGCTATAAACATAGGTATGCCTATGTCTCTATGGTATGATGCTTTTAACTCTTTTGAGAAGATACCAAAATGGGGAATAGCTGGGTCAAGTGGAGCCTCCAGTTTTAGTTTTTGTCTTTTTTTTTTTTGATAAGGTCTCACTATGCAGTTCAGGCTGGCACTGAACTCACTGTACAGCCCAGCTGGCCTTGAATTCATGGCAATCCTCCTGCTTCAGCCAGGTGTGCACCACCCTCCCGCCCAGCTTGGTTTTAGTTTTCTGAGGAAGCTCTATACTGAGTTTCATACTGGTTGTATCAATTTCCACTCCCACTGACCACAGAGAAGGGCTCCTTTTCCCTCATACCCTTGGCAGCATTCGTTGTTTGTTGATTCCTTCATAATAGCCATTGTTTCTGGAGTGAGATGGAGTCTCAGTGTTGTTTTAATTTGCATTTCAAGAAAGACCAGTGACATGGAACATTTTTTCATATATTTACCTGACTTTTTTTACTTCATCTGAGAAGTGTCTATTCATTTCAGATGCCCAGTTTTGAACTGGGTTTTTAAATTTGGGGAATCTGAATTCATATATCCTAGATCATCGTCCTTTGTTTGAGAAACAGCTAGTAATTTTTTTTCCATTCTCTGGGTTTTCTCTTCACTCTGCTGGTGATAGAAACTGATTTGTCACAATAAGTCCCTCTTTTCCACACAACCTTACCTTTCCTTCCCTCTTTCTCCCTCTTTCTTTCTCTCTTTCTCTCTCTCTTTCTTTCTTTCTTTTTATCTCATCTATCTATCTATCTATCTATATCTATCTATCTATCTATCTATCTATCTATTATTTACCTAACTATCCAACTAGAATTTGTAGTTGGATATGAAATAAGAAAGGATATTACACAGAAGAGAAAAACAATGGTATATAACATCTAAGACCTCTTTAAACTTTTTTCCTCCTTAACCCCATCACCCCTTTCCCAATTCCTCTGCCCCAGGGTTTCTCGACCTTAGCATTGGTATTTTGGATCACATAATTCTGTTCATTGTAGGATGTCTAAAAGTGTCCCTGGCCTCTACTCACTTTATGCTAGTAGCATAATACCCCTTAGAGTTGTCACAACTAAAAGTGTCTCCAAACACTGCCAAATATTCCCTGAGGCAAGGTAAAATTGCCCCTGGTTGAGAACCAACACTCCACTTCAAGATAAGAGCAAGAGGATTTAAGAGAGAGAATACAAAAGAAAAGATCCAGTATAATTGTTTAGCTCAACAGGTCCAAAATCTTGGAGAGGCTGGTTTTATTTTAAATTACAGTTTTTGGTTATTGTCTAGATTACTTTTCTCTCATTGCTGACACAAAACACCTGGCACCCAAAATTAAGGAAGGAAAGATTTACTTATCTCACAGTTTGTGGAGGTTTCAGTCCGTACTCGGCTGGCTCCAAGGCAGGAGGCAATAATTCACAGTGGCAGAAAACAGCAAAGCAGCAAGAGCAAAAGGGAGGAGAGGTAGCAAGCAGCCTCTTTCCCTCCCTTACATTGTATGCAAATTACCTGTCCCAGGGAGGGTGTAGCACTCACACCCATAATCCCAACACTGGACCATGAATCAATCATAAACTCCAGAAGCTCCCTCCATGACTGCATGAGGCTTTGGGGGGACATCCAGAGACTAACCATAACAGTTATACAGTTACTAAAACTAGGCTTAAAGATGCTTTCTAATAATGATAACAACAATGGACATTTAGTAGTTGTTTATTTAGTATATGTGAGGAAATGAACGAATCTTTTGACTAGATTAGCTCAATATTTATAACAAGAATCCAATCTATTGGATATTTTTTTGGCATTTTACAGAGGGGAAACTGAGGGACAGAACTGTTAAGAAATTTGTACAAATTCAGATGACTAGTCATTTAGCCACACTGAAGGAACAGGTAGTCTGATAGCAAAGTTGGTGAGCAGCTCACTGTACTCCTTACCTCTTTTACAAAAAAGCAACTCTAATAGGACTGTCTGGATCTGGAAGATGATTGCAGGAGTAAGACTGAGGTAGGTGGTACTTTCTGTGCTCTTCCAAACACATCACTACAACATTATCTACTGTATTCAAACCCTGAATGTGGAAAATATTGAATATTTTATATTCAATATTCACCTGGAGAAAGATGGAGGAGACCATGAAGCAGCACCCCTATACCGTGTGAACATTATGCCATTTTCCCTGGGAGGAGGGGTAGGTGTTATGTTTGGCGTGAGTAAGAGACAAAACAAAGTAAAAAGAGCATTTGTTACAGGGCAGGGGAAGGCTGCTGAGAGAGATGCAAGGACTTTCTGAGAGAGGGAGCTGGGGAACAATGGCTATATAGGGTAAGGCTGGGGCTGGGGTATAGGGGGCAATCTGAGTGACCTGGCCGATGGCGATTGGGCAGAGGCCCTAAAAGGAAACAGGAAGTTGTAAAAAGGAAACAGGAAGTTGTAACCAGGTCAGGGGAGAAGGGAGGTGGAGCTGAGCCTGGGAGAAGCACATGGTTGACTCGAGGCCGTGCGATGTTGGCTCGCTGCCATGATGGCTTGGCAGAATTTTAGTCTGGGTGGAAACCCATCAGTAGGCAGACCGAAAATACCAAAACTTATCCAGTGACATTAAGGCCTATGGGAAGAGGACGGCTTATAGTCACACAGACATAGAGATCCAAAGTATGATATGGCTAGGGAACTTCCAATGCTGAGCATCAATTTCTTCTGCATATTAAAATCATGAATTTTAACCGCAGCAGAAGAATGCGTGTAAACCGTCAAACACAGACTCTGCTACATGGTGTATGTTCAGTCAGCGGGAATTGTGCTTGTGGCTGAAAGGCTCTTCCTTGCTGCTTTACTGTTTGACTTGGACCCATGTTTCTCTGTGCTCCTGCTTTGAGCGCTGGCTTCATCTTTGACTTATTTTTTGATGTTTGCACTTGGCCTCAGCACCTGGTCTATATTTTATGTGTGTAACTTAGTCACCTGCCTCTCCTGTTCAACTCACATTTGGGGTTTTTGTGTGCTGGGGTTTTCCCGTGCCCTGTATGAACTCTGGTCACAGACTGCTCTGAATTTCCTAGTTTTCATGGCTGGCCCCCTGGACCTGCTTTTGGCAAGGCTGCTGCTGAGCTGTGACAATTGGGATTTAAAAGAAGTAGGGAAGTAAAGGTATAAGTAAGTGATGCTTATTTAAAAACTTAAAGAAAGAATAGCTGCAGAATCAGAGAGCCGCAAAACGGAAGCCGAGAAACCATTGATGTAGTAAAACAAAGGTTGTACAATGAGGTGTGAAAATCAGCCAAGAGTCTTTTTTCTCTGCCTGCATGAGGTTGTCTGCTCGGTGCTGATGTACTAATGAAACCATTGTAGGTTGAAGAACTTGAACACGTGAAGAATCAATAGTGAAGGACTTATTTGAAGCACAATAAGGTATGTAACAAAGAGTCAAGTGCTTACCCGCTGTGGGCAGGAGCCTGCAAAGCTGTAGAAATACATGTTGGCAAAGCAAATGCTGGCTTTCTGTGCCTGGAACAAATTCTTTTCCCTTTTCATGCTAGATTTCCTGTCAATACCAACGTGTAATTTTAACTGCTAGAAATAAAATACAACTATTTCAAGTAGGCTTGTAATCTCCAACCATCATCTGCAAGACTGAAAATATATTTCTGTGTGATACTTCCTCCTCCTCCACACAGCGGGGAGCCAAAAGCTTTAAAACAGAAGGCTAGGAGTGTTTGCTTTGATGGCACATATCTGGTAAGATGTCAGAAGACAGCATGTCAAGAAGATTTACTAAAGTGAAGGAAATACTAGGGCTAGCAGCTCACAAGTTAGTGGCCAACATTTCGCCTGCACCTACACTCCTGAACACAAAGTTTTACTGTATTTAATTGAAGTATAAACATAACCTGTTTAATTTATAATACATTTTCAATCAAATGAAGGGAAAATACTTCATGTTATTTACACTTACTGATGAAAGCACTGCCTCAAAACCAAAAATATTTAAAAAAAAAAAAAAAAAACAAAAGGAAACTGCTCAAAAGTAAAGATCAGCTGAGATGAGGGAAAAGAAAAAAGAAAGAAGGGGAAAATTATGTATATATATATGTACAGAGTAGCTAACATAGTTGTACTACTGACTTCTATCACTTTATTGAAAGGAACAGTTAATGATTAATTATTTGATCAATCTTACATGTCTATATTTGTTTTCCTGAGTAATCAATTTGAAGAAATCAATATTTAATACAACCATTGTTAATTTCCTATCGCATTGTCTGAATTTCAGTATTGCTTGTATTGTTCTTGTGTTATTCTGTAAGTGTATGTGTGTCTGTTAGTATGTTTTCTTTCTTTTATTGAAAAAAACAAAACAAAACCGAGCTCCCTAGCCCTTTTTGCTTCCATCAAACCTGTAAGTGGAAGGAAAACCTGGATGGAGAGCAAGAGGGGAATCAGGCAGCGCAGTAAGTGTATAAGTGTTTAGTTATTGAGCATGAGCTTCTACATCCTACCTGGAATGAGTTATAGGGAAGTTCTTGGCAACACTTGAAAGAAGCTTTTATGTTTCAGCTTTGGTGGGGTCAGCTTGTAGCAGTTCCTGGCCCAACCTGCCCTCAGAGGAAGAAGCACACAGAATTCACATGCTCCGGATTCGGTCCCTTACCTCAGTTTCATCTCCTTCCTAGCTGTGACTTTCTCAGACGTGCAGCTATTCTTGCCTCCATTTTCCACCTGGACTCTTGCTTTCGGCAGTAGTCTTGACCAGTTCTGTGGCCATATCCAACTTCACCTACTCATAACACTTTCCAGCGGCTCTAGCAGGTTCCCTTGGATGGAAGGAGCAGGCATTAAGGGTTAGAGTTAGGTGGGTAGGTGAAGCAGAGAAAAAATCATAACTATTCACTTAACAGGTATTTATTGAGTTTTTACCCTATGCCAGATACTGGGACTCCAATGGTGATGGAGCACCAGATGAGATTTTGGGGATCTATTCTTATGTGTGCTTGGGTTCCAGTTAAGACAACATACAGCTAACATCTACTAAGCCAGGCACCATACAAAGACCTTCATCTTACCACCTCCCCAGACCAGCCCTACAAGTAGGTCAGGGCATCAGTTCTCCTCTGTATGTTTAAGTGCAAGAGGTTGAGTAAGTTGCCCAGGCTCATAGTCAGCAAGCAGGGAAGCTAGAATTTTACTCAAAGTCTAACTCCTGTCACCACCTTTAATTTCCAGCCTACATTCTAGTGGTTTAGTATCACATGTCCGTACATATATTCAAATTTAAACGTGTATAAAATGAGATTATTCAGGGAAGTATTGTAGGGTTAGCTTTGTGAGTGAGGAGGAGGAGGAGGCATATGTGATGATTGTATGATGGATTACATGCATCCTAACATTCCAGCTTTAGGATTTACTCCGGGAGGTGACTAATTACTACCTTTCTCAAAGAATGAAACTCTGAAGTATGGATGGAAGTTCCCATTTAGGTCTGAATATTGGAAGGAAAATTGGTTTTATTAGTTTTCTACCTTCTGGACATGATGAATATCTCTGGAGAAGTGGATTTTGAAGGTATTTAGATGCTTTAAGGGCCCATGAGTCTTCTACTGCCAGCTGAAACCTCAGGCTAGTTCTGGGGCTGTTAGAGCCATGTTTTACTTGAAACCAGCTAGTTTTTTATGGGATATTGTTTTTGGCAAGATATCATTTCAGATGACATATATCCTCTGACCATTACTCAGCACCTCTGGGAAACTTTCCATCCATCTGAATTTGCAATAATCCCCTTGTTTGGCTGAGTTACTAGTCAAAACAACATCATCATTTCTGGGCCAACATTTTTAAAGTTATAATGAAGTCAGTCTCTACAGGTATCATGCAAGAGATTTGGAGGACTGCAAGTTGTAGCTAACCAAGCTATCCTAGGGGCATTGACAGGAAGCCTGCTTTCTCCCCACGGTGGGAATTCTCAACTGCCAAGGGAAGGGACCAGTCCAGTAAAGCAAAGACCTGGGCAACTGTTTTCAGAGACACAGCCGTTGTATTGTCCAGATCTATAAAAATAAGCATGGTCTCTCTGGGAAAGTACCCTTGTAATTCAGCTATTGTATAAACTGCAAAGCCCTAAAGTTTTGTTTGGTTTGCGGCTCAGCAGGGACATAGCTGCTGTTGGTCTCTCGGCAGACACAGTGAAGATAGGACAAAGCTGGTCTTCCCTGGGAAATACAGCATAGTTCTAACATTTGAGCCCATTTGAGCCCATTTGAGCCCATGGCATTCCATAAAGGAAGGAACATGCCACTTTCAGACCTATAAATTGCTTTCTTTCCTGAGCAGATCAGAGGGGAGGAGGTAAAAGAAGGGC